TCTTCTTCTACATTTAAATTGCACACTACAATTAAATGTCGTAATTTAGAGCGGAGCTGTTGAGAATGAAGAACTGACACCGTTAAATGTGATGTTTGTTGAAATACAGCAGGTTGCTCTTCAGACTTTTAAACCTCCTGGAACCAGACTTTTGGCTCCAGAATCAGGAAGTCCACAGGTCTGCTGGTGATGAAAGCTTTTTAAAGATGTCTGGTGATCACTTGGACTGCTTCATTCAGCCGTAAACTGTTAACTGGAATCAAAATCAATCCTGGACTCGTATTACCCGAGAGAGATGTGTGACTAAGTTTCATATCAGCTTGGCACAAAAGAGAAAAGAGTCCATAAAAGAGCCTCGGATCCGCGAGCGGCTGCAATCGGGAAGTGATGGATAAATGAGCTCTAACTAAAGGAAAGCAGGACAATGATCATCGTTGGATTTCCTCCGCTAACCCCCCCATCTCCACTGCACCTTCCTTTACATTACCATTATTAAATAGGAGAGGACTCTCTTAATAAAGTCTATTAATCACACAGAGGGACTCGGTCCACCGGCTCACCCTCGTGCAGGGGGGCTCTAATCAATCAGCTGGCTGGTAATGTATTCATGGGAGATGTAAGAAAGGGCTTGTTTGACAGTGTTCCAAGGAGGAAGAATTTATTAAGTCTCCATCAGGAGTCGAGCAATCCTGAGGAGTCATGAACACCCACCCCACCCCTGTCCTCCCTGCATGTGAATAAAAGGGCCTTCATGATATATGAAGTTCATACAAATATTGGAAACGTTCTAAATATGTCGTCTCATTAACGGTGATGAGCGAAAGCCCGACTACGGCATTTGTCAGGTATGCTCCAAGTGTAAAGACGCTGTTGTACAAGGCCTCTGCTGTGTCGGGCGATGTCCAGACATCACTCCCGTGCGATCCTCTCAAAAGCTGCAGAAAATGTGTCTTATTAGTTCACACGGGGCGGAGAAATTCTGTGCTACACCTCTGACTAATGTACAAAGCTGAGAACGCACGGGGCTGAGGGTCTGCTGGGCGTGTGAGAGGAGAGGGAGTGGAGGGGGGTCACCAGCTGCTGGAGGCCGATGTTAGACCCTCTCTTAACTCGCCCCTTCGCTCTTCTCCACCGTAAACTTTAGGCAGACGGAGTATTTCTCTGATTATTTTCCTCCAACATTAATGTTGAACTGTCATCATGAACAGCAACATGGTGCGGGACAGAGAAGCAAAGCTCTGAACGTGCACATGTTGGAACGCGTCTTCATAGCGGAGAGGGTCCTAGTGGTCCCCGCTTCGTGCCGAGGAGGAACTGAAAAAGGTTAAACGTAGCTTAAAAGCTGCATTTCCATGATCGCCCCGTAACTCGGGTTTGTGTGAAGGAGCTGAGAAAAGCACAATCTTTCAGCCGACTGAACGGCAGAGACCCCGTCGCCCCCTCTGCCTCCGTCCTGCCACCCCCTTCCCCACTTGTTGCCTTTCGGCTGCACTGAAAGAACTCCTCTCTCCAACTTCCATCAACAAAAGGCATGAAATCAGTGCCCTCCCTCTCTCCGGCTTCAGCTGCAGAGAATGACACTCCTTCTGGGCCTTTTGTCCTTCTTTCAGCCTACGGAAGCACAGCAGCTCCTCTCTGAATGCTGCCTGGCAGTTCTTTAACATGTTGCTGGTGCACCCCCCCCCCCCCCCCCCCCCCCCCCAACCCCCCCCCCCCCCCACCCCCATCCCTCTGCATTCTCATAAAACATGCAGGAAGTTGCACATGTCTGGACGGGGTGAAGCCGAGCTCCTCTTCTCCAAAATCACTTGTCTCCATGCGGCCCGCGGGCCTGTGCAGGAGTCCGTGTGCTGTTTGGCTCACCTCGAGCGGTGATCCTGACTCCTCCTCTCTGTCAGGTAACACCGGCCCAGGGCTCACAAAGGGGTAGTGGCTCTCTAGGCTGGGGGGGGGGGGGGGGTCTGACAGCGGCTCATAAAAGGATTAGTCCACTGCACAAAGACATCGGGCTGCTTCTAAACCCAACAAGGTCCACAAAGGAGGTGACATTTGTCTGTCTCGATGCAAGGAGGGGGCGTGGCAGAGCCGTGCGTGTTAGAGAGAGGACGGAGGAGGAGGTGTCAGTGGCTGTGGGGCCATAAACGACAGAAGGGGTGGACGAGAGGAAAACACAAGAGTGACCCTCTTTATTTGAAGTGGCCCCCACTTTCACTGGGCACCTCTGGCCCCCTCCAAAAGCACTGCTCTTGTGTTCATTTACTCCACGTTTTTGCCCCCGTTCACACACGGCCCTCTGATGGCTCCATCGGTCCGATTCCTCAACCCCTCCATCCACCAGATCAGCCAACGCTCCAAAAGACAGATTAGATTTCCCTGTAATGATTTCATCTTTCTTCATTTCTCTAGTAGCTGTTTGTGTGTTTGTGGTTCATCTCGGAGCCCGGTCTGCTCAGAGGGACAGGAAATGAAGGACAACTTTGTTTTCACTGGCTCAAGATACACAATCTGCCACAAAACTATTAATTAATTAGGGTTTTGTTGCAGGACAGGAAGTATAACTGATGCATTTATAAAGCTGGGGTCTTCAAAAGGTAAAACACCTTCTGGCTGAAGATCCTTGACTCAAAAGACAAAATAAACAACAACAACAACAAAAATGTCTGCTGCTTTCCCCATTATTCCTCCACATCCATCCCTATTTAATTGCTTAACTTTAAAAAAAAACTTCTATTAGCTTTTTGAGTCAGCTGCAGAACATTTACCACAGCGTGGAGCTCAGGAACAAGAAGATGATTTGGTGTTGATTACCGCTCAATGTTCTGGGAAATGAGCTACACACAAAGCCCCCCTCTGGAAATGTCCCCATGTAGCTCTGAACCAAATGTAAGCCGATGCTTTTCATTTGCTCTCTGCAGCCGGGGAGCAGGTTGAACACGTATGGTGACATAAGCAGGCCAGATTACTTTGTTTCTGCAGAGGCTTTTAATCCCTAATTTCATGCACTGATCGGAGGAGAAGCCCTGATCACCGGCCCTTCAGCAACGTTTCTGCTGAATCCAGCTCGTGGCCTCGGCAGGAGCAAACGTCCAATCAGATTGCAGGGAGTGTGCGCCAGCGTTTATGCTTCTCACATGCACTGGCAGGAAAAACTCTAAAATTAATTTCTAGCAGACATAAGGAGGATGTGTGCATATTCAATCCACATTTTTCCTGAGGTGTTTTGAAGTTTTCCTGAACTCAATTTGTTAAAGCTGCAGGAATCAGGAATAAAGCCTTTTTGTTCTTTTTTAAGCCCTAACACCAATCAGCTGCTGGTGCCGCTTATGAATATGCATCTGGCGGTCGTGGGGCTCTCCAGGAAGATAACTGATTAGACAGGAAGGCATCATGGAGCGAGCAGATCCAAACAGGCTCCGGAGCCTTTCCTCCCGGCTCAGATGGGGTTTGCTTAACGCAGGAGAGGCCAAGGATCAGGAGAATCACCACCTCCTCATCTGAGAGGAGTCACGTGACCAGCTGCACTTTCTCAGAGACCTGGGCGAAATCTAAACGTTGTTTTAATTATAATTATTTATTTATTTAGATTATTAAATCATCTTCTTTAAAAATTAAACGAGGGAATAATAGTTTATGTCCCAAACAACTTTCTGTAATTTTAACAGATTTTTTACACGGTTTTATTTTTCTGCTCTGTCTTAAATTTAAATTTAAATTTAATTTCTATTTATTTTCAGAATAAAGCAAAAATAATTTCAAGTACAACCAAAAACGAATCCAATGCTAAACTCATAAAATGAAAAAAGATAGCGCATTGTTTGATTTGCGCTGCCCGCGTGCGCGCGTGCAACTTGATGTATTTATAGCAGATTTGCGTTATGAAGCCTTTTGGTGGTCAAATAAAAAACTAACAAAAATAAAAGAAAGAAAATGCACTTTGATATTCACTGAAACATTAATAAAGATCGTGGCTGCTTTTATTTTTAAATCCGCGGGACTTTCTGCAGCTCTTAAAACGAAACCATCCCCTCTGATCTGCTGCTTTCGCATTAAAACACAGCAAAGAAAATATTTTTAAAAGTTACGTTGTGACATTTTAATAAATGCAAAATGTAACAAACGAATGCAAATCATGAGCGGCTGGAAATGTTTTTAAAAGTGCCAGAAGGGGAAGAAGGGGAGGGACAGTGTGTGTGTGTGTGTGTGTGTGTGTGTGTGTGTGTGTGTGTGTGTGTGTGTGTGTGTGTGTGTGTGTGTGTGTGTGTGTGTTGTGTGTGTGTGTGTGTGTGTGTGTGTGTGTGTGTGTGTGTGTGTGTGTGAGGCCGCTGCATGCGACTGTAGAGGGAGCTCCAACATTAGGTTTACATAAACTTCCTCTGATAAGGTCTCGCGCGCGCTAATGTTCACATCAGGGGCGAAGAGAATAAATGATGTTATTTTTAGTTATACAGCCGCGATTTATTACAATTACAGCGTGGGGCGCTGGAGGTGGGGGGTGGGGGGATAAGGCATTACAAATCGAGCCAGATGAGATGAGGGAGTTGCGCAGCAAAGCCAAAAATCCATCTTTTGGATCCACCCGAACCTTTCCGAACCAGGTCCCAACAACGCTTCAGCCAAAAGTCTCCTTTTAAAGCAGACTTTTAAAGGGCCTTGGAAATGTAATGAAAGAATGGAGCGTTTTAATGGGCCGCCACGCTTCTGTAAAGAGATAATCCCACAACATTAATATCCAAATGTATGCCGCAACTCTGGCTAATTAGCCCGAAGTCCCGCCACCTAAAGGTCTGATAAATCCCCTCTCGAATATTTACTTATCACTGCACAGAGGGTGAAGTCTGCACCCCCAGGCCGTCCACACACACACACACACACACACACACACACACACACACACACACCCTTGAGCCACGCGCTCCCAGCTGCAGAGCTCAGCACCATCAGACCACAAGCAGCTGCAGAAACAGCCCGAGAAACTAAAAAAATAAATCATAATGATAATGTTTTTAAGTTGCAGCAGTTCATTTATTTGCCAAAAATATAGACTTTCTTGTACAATTTCGTTCACAAGTATGTACATATTCTTACCTTTATATACAAAACATTTTAACATCAAATCCTCACAGGAAAAGAAAAGGAAATAAAGAAATTAAAGCAAATAAAAACTCACAGACAACAGGTTCATACATTATTACATTAGCAGTTTTACACGGGACATGCTTACAATGTAGGTAGGCTGTACAGAGATGTGTTTTATTAATTTACATTCCGTTTTCCAATTCAAATAATAATAATAATAATAATAATAATAATAAATGCGAGAGGATGGGTGGGCTAAAGACCAGACTCTGTTTACCTTGGGCCTTAAATGTAACACAAGCACGCACGCACGCACGCACGCGCGCGCACACACACACACACACACACACACACACACACACACACAGGAATAAAAAAAATGTCAAACGAGAGATAAGAAGAATAAAAGCCTGGTGGAGAGCTGGAACACCAAGTGACAATCTAAAACAAGCCTGGAGTGAATTTGCATGATCAAACAAGTGAGTGAAACACACACACACACACACACACACACACACACACACACACACACACACACACACACACACACACACACACACACACACACACACACACACACACAGGCCTTGGCGACAGAACACAAACACTGAAAGATAAAATAATAATTATTTTAACAGTATATTTTAGCATCAAAGCTAATTTGGGTGAAAATGAGAGAGAGATGAGAGAGAGAGAGAGAGAGAGAGAGAGAAGAGAGAGAGAGAGAGAGAGAGAGAGAGAGATGGCACCAACATCAGCCCAGACTCCCGGATGTCTTTCACCTGACAGCCTGTTTGATCTGAAACTGTTTTCTTTGCGTCCCAAGGCACTAGATCTGTCTGAGACTGCGGCGGAGACCAGAAACGCGCTAATTTCACTCAAACCAGCTCGTTGCGGGATCTGGTGAATTTAAAAATAAATCTAACGAACTTTTATACAAAACATCAAAAACAAGCACGAATAAAAGCAAATTATATTCCTCCTTAAATCATCTGTTTCTTTTTAATAAAATGCTCTTGGATATTTTTAAAGCAGTCGCACGCACGCACGCACGCACTTGTTTCTCTAAGCTGTAACACTGCTCCTCTGTGGCCTTGAGAGAATAAAAAACTCCATGAGGTGAAAAAGGCAAAAGGGTCTAAAATGAGAGGTGAGTGACAGGAAGTGGGAGTGTCTCTGTCTCTGAGTCTGTCTCAGTGTCGGGGACATGTACCTGTGACTGGAGTGTCTGAACCAGGACCCTTGTCCTCCGGCGTCCTGCTGCTGCTGTAGAGGGCCAGGTTGGTGGCGCCGGCCTGGTTCGCCAGGCCCAGATAATGACTGGAGTTGAGTAAAGCCAGCTGGTGCGCCGAAAAGGCTCGGTTCGACCAGTTCTGGAGTTTCCCAACGGAGCAAGGCGAGATGAGTCTGTGGGGGGTGAGGATGGTCTGCGCGGCCGCTCCCGCCGCACCGCCGCCGTTCATTTGCGGGGATTTGCGCGGATTGTCGGGGGCCGTGGCTGTCTCTGCCAAAGACCAGATCTTTGGTTTCTGGGCCGGGGCAGGGCTGTTCTCTGAGGGCGGGGAGCTAACGGACACTGGGTTCGGTTGGGGACACTTTGAGGTCCAAAGCAGGGTGGTGGTGGTGATGGTGGTGGAGGCTGTGGAAGGGCTGCGCGTGTTTGCCCTCCTTCCCCACCGCCTTCAGGAAACCCTGGTCCGGACCTTCTAAATCCTCATAGTCGTCAGAAATCTCAGAGTCGCTCCTTCCGTCCAGCTTGAGGTCAGGAAGGTCGTCCTGGTCGTCGTCATCTTTGCTCTCGATATTTTCCGTGTCGATGTTCTCCAGGTCGATCTCCTCCTCGTCCTCCCTCTTGTCCTCCTCCTCCCCCTCATGGTCGCTGGTGTAAACATTCCCCTCTTCATCGGTGCGGTTCCGCGGGGTCCAGGTCATCTTGTTCTCCTTCTTTAGCCTCCTCCTGGCGTTGGCGAACCAGGTGGACACCTGGGTGAGGGTCATCTTGGTGATGATGGCCAGCATGATCTTCTCCCCCTTGGTGGGGTAGGGGTTCTTACGGTGCTCGCTGAGCCAGGCCTTCAGGGTGGCGGTGCTCTCCCTGGTGGCGTTTTTGGGTCTGGACGGGTCACCGAACTGATACTGGCCAAACGGGTAAAAAGCAGGGTGAGGGGGGGCGAAGCCCGGGTGCTGGACAGGGGGGACCGTCCTTTAGATCATACTGAGCTCCCTGGAAAGACAAACAGGACCTGGTGAGACCAGCAAAGGACGCAGCATGGGGAGTTTTCCTTCAGTACAACCCAGAGTGTGTGGTTCTGGTCCGGAGACGCAGAATAAAGTCCAAATACACACTTTTAATCACTTTTAACCTCCTCATGAGCCGCTAACCGAACTCGTTTTTATTTGATTTATTCGGAAGTTCCCACTTCCTCCAAAAAGCCTCCTGATTTTCAAGATTTCAGACATAAATCTGTTCTTTTTTTATCTTTGCTGCATGCAGTCAGATTTTGGGTAAATCTGAGTTTTAAATTAGCGCAAAACAGAAGATGTCGATGCGTCACTTTTTAACCAATTTAAACTCGTTTCCGTGAGCGTTAAAGTTCACCGGCGCGCTCTGAAAGTTCTGCTCCAAATTGCGCCACCAAACTTTCCCTCGGTTTATTTCTCCGCCAAAGTTGCACAAAACTTATCGAACCCAGAAGGAACAAAAACTCACCAACTGGTTGAAGATGGAGATGTCGTTGGAGTAGGGCAGGAACGCGCCGTAGCCCTGCGCCGCCGCGGCGAAAGGAGATCCGTACATGGTGGAGAGGACGCTGGAGAGTGCGTTGGACGGGCTGAGCTCCGTCCCGGCTCGGCCGTTGCTGGGGATCCCCTGGCGCTCCCCTGGCGGAGGGTAAATCTGTCGGATGTACTGATATCCCAGCTGCGGGAAAGACATGTTGGTGAGAAGCTGGAGGGGGAAAGTCTGCTGCGGTCACACAAAGCAATGGAATTGCCTCGATATCCACTTTTACAGTGAGAGCATGTGAGCAACAAAAGGTGCGCGCACGGGAAAGTGTGGATTTCCTCCGCGTAAACGATCCGGTTTGCGCCCCTGCGTTCTTCCTCTTGGTCTTCTCTCCAGCAGCACTTCCCTATTGATCTGGATGGAGCAAGGTCAGGTCCTTACAGATTGCTTTAGATTATTGGGACTCCCTTGCTCAGATTGACATTTCTAGTCGTTTAGAAGCCCCTCCTATTCCTCAAATCTCACCCCTCTGG